AATATCCTTGGGTGAGGATTACAAAAAAAAAAAAAAAAGACAAACCAGAAAGAAAACATTGGGTCCCAGGAAGGGGCCATAAAGGCACAGCCCTGGGCCAGGGGAACACCACCAAATTGGCAGCCCCAGCAGAGCATGACAACACTCCAAAGACCAGGTGGGAATTGAATCTGCAACCCAGGTATATGCCCTTGACCTGGAATTAAACCTGTGACCCTTCAGTGTGTGGGCTAACACTCTAACCACTGAGCAACATGGACCAAAGCCCAGTGTTTTTAGGAGGTCCCACAACCCTTTTCTCCTGGACCTAGAGAACTCCCATCCCTGCCCCCTAGGAGCCCACAGCAAGAACCAGCCAGGTGTGTACCCAGGAGGCTTCTCAGAGGGGTGAGGGACAGTGTTGGAGTCAGACTTGGAGGGTGGGGTGGAGGATAGGGATCTAGGCCCCAAATAAGGGGCTGCAGGGTGTTCTCCCTCCAAGGAGGTGGGGCTGGGCCCTAACTCCCTCCCCTCTCTAGGTGAGGAGCAGGGTGAAGTACTGACCTGGAGTGAAAGGAGCACAAAGGATGGAGGGGCAGGGCTCCATCTCCCATCCCATCTCCACTGTGTATCCTAGAAATCAGGCGTTTGGTGCTGTTTTTAAGCTAGAATACCACACTTTTGGTACCATCGTGTCCCCCTCCATTTCAGCTCAGGCAGAGATGCTGCTTGAAGGGCTGCTGAAAGTTCTCTTTCAGAACTGGAGTGGGGAGAGCTCCGAGATTTTATTTTTTTATTTTAATTTTTTTAAAATATATTTTTACTAATTTCAGAGAGGAAGGGAGAGGGAGAGAGAGATAGAAACATCATTGATGACAGGGAACCATTGATTGGCTGTCTCCTGCACGCCCCCTACTGGGGATCAAGCCTCAACCTGGGTGTGTCCTTGACTGGAATCAAACACCAGACCATTCAGTCTGCCGGCTGACACTCTATCCACTGAGTCAAACTGTCTAGGTATCCTCTGGGGTTTTAGATGTCAGGGTGGAGAATCCAGGGCCTTGTAAGGAGTGAAATACCTGCTGTCCCTTCTGCCTCTGCCTTCCATGATGACAAATCTGGGGTTGGGAGTAGTTACCCCTACTCTGGTGCTGCCCTTGAAGTAAAGGTCAGCCTCATGCTGAGCCCTCTGCTGAGAGACCTGTGATTCCTCCCATCAGGCCCCAGTGACTGGGAAAGAGCAGCAGGGTGTCAAGTGTATAGGTCGAGGGTCTGCCAGCCTGGGTTGAGTCTCTGGGAGAGGTGGCAGTGGTAAGGATTCTTTTTTTTTTTTAAATATGTTTCTATTGATTTCAGAGAAGAAGGGAGAGGGAGAGAGAAATAGAAACAACAATGATGAGAGAGAATCATTGATCGACTGCCTCCTGGTCACCCCCCACTGGGGATCAAGCCCAAAACCCGGGCATGTGCCCTGACCAGGAATGGAACCATGACCTCCTGGTTCACAGGTCAACGCACAACCACTGAGCCACTGATTCTAAGGGACTGAGGACCATTCCCAAGCTGCCAGCAGTTGGAATGGGCTAGAGGGTGTAGGCTGGCTGTGCCCTTATACCGCCCCACAGGCTTCTTGGTGCTTTGGCCTCAGTCCTGCCTGTTCCCACCATCCATGGTATGTTGGGGGCTGCAGAGGCCATGCCCTGCAGCAAGGAGGGCCTCCCCTTTTCGCCTCTCCTCTGCCCAGCCTCCTAGAGATAGTGCCTGGGACACCCTAGCAAGGGTGGGGGGAGGGGCCTGCTTCCGGCCAGAGCTGGCCCTAGACACAAAGGCATCTGCTATTGCCACTGCAGCTGAGGCCAGGCGTGGCTTGTTACTGGGAGCTGCTGACAGTGGATTTTTATCCTTCATTCTACAGACCTGTCCTCTGGCTGCTGAGTGTTAGGCATAGAGCTGAGCCTCAGGCTCCTGAGGTAGGCAGGGCAGGAACCATGTTCCCCTTGGGATGGCTCTGGAACAGGGGCTCACCCACATTTGTTCCCTGCTGGCAGAGCACTGAGGACTTGAACCCAGATTCTGGCCACTCGGTTGTCCCTGGGAGTATTAGGGAAGTGATGCTAACGCTGCTGGTCCCAGAGTTCCACCAAGGACGTGAGCGTGGGGATGTCTGGGAAGGGAAGAGGCACTGCTCTCAGAGCTCGGTTGCAACCTGGGGTTACAGGGGCAGGACAAGGGGATGGTCAGGCACTGACCAGTGGGCACAGACTGCAGTCAGTACACGCACTGGGCCTGTGTCCATTGGCCATTGAGACTCCTTGAGACAAGCAAACAGAATATCCCAGAAATAAACTTGGCTCACGTTGAGATGGTTCTGGGTATGAAGGGAACTAGTGTTTCCCAAGTGACTGCTGTGTTCGAGGCTCTGCACTGGGGGCTGGAGAGAGTGTGTGTCTGTGTGTTTTGGAGGTGGGGAACAGGAGGGAGCAAAAGGCCTGTGAAATTTCCGCTCCTGGCTCCCATGAACCTGAGCATTACCCTAGGAGCCACCAGCGCCACATTGTCACAGCCCAGATCTGCTTCTGTTGCTCCCTGACTGAGCCTGGCAAGTCGAGTAACTGTTCTGTGCTTCAGTTTCCCTGTCTGTAAGGCGGGGGTAATTAATCATAGTGTCTCATAGGGTTAAAAGAGATGATTGAAGTGTACAAAAGAGCCCTGCCTCTGCCAGAATTAGCACCGGCCATCATTGTTGTAGTCACTGGGAACCCATCAATCGTGTCTCCCCACCACTCCCAGCACCGGGTTTGGGGCTTGGGGATACCCAGAGCACATCTAAGGTCCCGGAGGCAGCTGGTGGAGCCGTGGGGGAGACATGAATACCCATCAGATAGCTGCAGTTCTCGAAGACACCTGACCACCAGTGTTCAAGGCTCAGCAGAGGACCAACCCAGCCTGGCTGGGGTTCTCCTCTGCTTCCTCCCTCTTGGGTAAGCGAGCTCCAGAGGGCATTCCTGGCTTTCTCAGCTGAAGCCACACTGCTCCCAGGAAGGGCCAGACACTCCATGCCAGGAGGATTTCTGCTGGAGCCCACCCATCCTCGGCCAGGCCTGGTGCTCTTGCAGGGGAGGGGCGTCCATGCTGAGGGTGTCCAGGTTAGGGGGCATGAAGTGGGCAATAACAGGATGTATTAGTACTTCCAGGTGGGGGCAACCGTGAGCAGGTGCCCAATGAGGGGCACAGGATCCTTCCTGAATGGACTACACCCTAGACATGTCCTGAAGAAGGAGGACACAGGGAGAGGTTTCCTAGAGGCAGGAGCGAGGTGGCCAGAGACGCAGGGCAGGGCAGACAGATGGCCAGCAGTGTCTGCCAGGACTGTGATAGTGCTCTGGCGGGGTGCCCCTCCAAGAGATCACAGCTGTGCCCTCTTGTGAGCTTGGGGGTGAAGCACCTGATTGTCCCAGAAGCAGGGGAGGCTGGAAAGCTAGGCTCTGCGGGAGCCGGCTCCTTGTAAGAACAAGCTGGGCAAGACCCTGGGTCCTGGGGACACGTCCAGAGCTCGGGCGAGGCTTGTCCTGCCGTGGGTGGGATGCCACCATTTGGATAACATTTACTAAGTTCTCCATGCACCATCCCAACTCATCCTGCAGTGTGACTGGCCCTGGCCTGCCTGCCACTCCAGGGCCACAACCCTCTCCCCTCTGGCCTCTCCCTGCTCCAGTACCTTGGCTCATGCCCCTCCGCTGCCTGTATGCTCTTCCCCAGCTGGTTTCACGGTTGCCTAGTTTTCATTCTTCATGAGTCATCTGAAGTGTCACCTCCTTGGGGAGGCCCTCTCTGATTACCCTAGGTGCAGTAGCCTTGTCCTACATTATTTTGGGCACCGTACTCTTGCCCCCTGCCCTAGCAAGTTTTTTGTTGTCTGTCTGCCCCACTGGAATGTAAAGCCCATGTGGATAAAGACCTGATCATGCTAGGACTAGGCCTGTGTTGCCCCGAACAGGGATCTGAGTGCTCAGAGAGGCTAAGGGACTTGCCTGAGGTCACCCAGGTCTGGTCTGAGTGACTGAGAGAGAAGGAAGGAGGAGCTGGTGTCAGGAGCTGCTGGGGAGGTTTAGAAACCCAAAGGGGCGAGTCGTTGGCCAGCTGGATTGCTCCAGCGCCAGCAGCGCCCCGGCTACAGAAGGCTGCCTCTGGGGCTCTGGGCAGAGGCACCAGCTGACGTAGGCAAGGAGCTCCTGGTGCCAGGCGCCCAGTGCCACGTGCCCAGCCCAAGAGGTGCTTCCCAGCCTGGCTCCAGCCGCCCCAGGCTATACAGTTACAGCCGCAGTTGGGGACCTCACTCTGAGGGTGGGGGCTGGCCACCCTTGCACAGGAGGTCCCCAGTAGTTTCTTGGGCCCTGGTGGACTCTCTGCTTTCCCTTCTCCCTCCCCCACTGGACCTTGCCCTGAGCAGAGCCCTTCAGCCTCCCTGAGTGCCCAGCCCTATCTGTGGGACCTGGCGGAGGCCCATCTGCCAGCCTTCCCTGAGCTGCCCTTCTCCTTAGAGGTGAGGGGCCTCTTAGGGGCAGTCCCCTCTGTCTGTACCCCGCCCCCTCTGACTGGGCCAGAGGGGAATTTTCCTGTGACTCACTCTGCTGGCACTTCCTGTGGTCACCAGGGCAGGGGCTGGGGGGACCCAGTGGGGTGGCTCTGTGTTCTGGGGTCACTGGGGGAGGGGGACTGTGTGTCCCGCCCTCTGAGGGGATGTGATTCCCTGAAGCAGGCTGCAGACCATATTTGGGAAACTTACTTTTCTTAAAGGCAGCCTGGGGATGGGGCCTTGGAGCCCCAGTGGGCTGCAGGGCAGCCCTCGCCCCTGCCTCCTTCTCCCTGGGCTCTGGCCTCTGGACCTGTTTCAGCCTCCTCTGTCCTATCCTGCTTTGGAGCATAGGAGGTAGTCCACTGTTTTCTTTTTCAGGATATGTGTTGTTTTAACCCCAACGCCAAGAAATACTCATTAAATACAAATTGAAAAATTCTGAAAATCAGGAAGAGAAAACATCTCCCAGTCATCTCAAATATTAACATTGTTATTCTTCCCTCTCCCTATTATTGAAGTTGGAGTGATGGTTTATTGAGGCATAATTTACACTTCCGTGCATTTGTAATCTCTGTGTGGACCTTGCAGCCGTCAGCAGTTCCAGGGGCCTCTGCCCTGGTGCTCATCTTGGTGCTGGCTGACTCCTCTGGCTCTGCCCTCCCTGAGCTCTGAGCTGCCTGCCTTGGCTGGCTTTTCCCCTGGGTCTTGCCACTCTTGGCTCCCAGTTTTCCTGCCGCTGGCCCTTTCTGGGGCGGGAACCTATGAGCTGCTCTGAGGAAGTGGGCTCCTGGGGTCTGAGCATGCAGTCCTGGGGCCTGGAGCACATGCCGGCCCAGCCTTCCCAGTGGTCACCTTGATGATGCTCAGGCCTCTTCCCTAATCCCGTGTGGCAGCAGTGGAGACGGAGCTCGGAAGGGCCCTTGCTGACCCCAGATGCTGGCATGGAGTGAGGAGAGGGGCTCCCCCTGGACTTGGCCGAGGCCTCACCCTCACTCTCCTCTGCCCCAGGGCCCAGGCTCCCACTTCCTGTTCCTGCCTGCGGGGGTGTGGCTCTTCCTTCTGCCTGGAATTTCTGCTCCTGCTTGACTCCTTGCAGATGGAGTCCTGGGGAGGAGACTGGGCCCAGGTGGGGAAGGTCGCACAGCTAATGGGTGGCCACACCCAGGTTTCATTCCCAAGTCAGGGATCTAGATCAGGCTGTGTGTCCTCAGATCCCAGGAGGCTCAGAGTAGGGCAACCAGAGCTGAGGCCTCACTGGTGGAGCTGGAGCCCAGCTGGCCTGATGCTGGCCTTTCCACAGACCTGGCTTCCCCCTGTGTGTGAGGCCTGGCCTCTGCTGCACCCTGCCAAGCTCTCTGCTGCCCTAGAAGGCCAACGCAACCCTGGCCTTCTCTCCCCCAGACACCTCCTTAGCTCCTTGGAAATGACCTTGGCCCTCCAGCAGGGGGTGGGGGGTAGGGGAGGGGTGGGGGGACCTTCTGTGATATCTCTGGGCCCAGCCTGAGCCTGGCACCTGTGCAAGGGAGCAGCGGCATCAGGGCCCAAGGGCTAAAAACTCAGGGCCTCCTGACCCCCAGATTCTCTGCCTCTAGTGAGGTTCTGGGTCTGCCACTCAGTATCACTAGTGCTATGGTCCACCTGCCTCTGACCCTACAGTCTTCCCCCAGGGCCTCTCCCTGGAGTGCATGTTCCTGCTCTGGGAAGGTTTGCTGACTAGCGGGACCTCGAAGCAGTGTTGGGTGGCTGTGCAAATTAACAGGAGAATTACAGCAGCAAAGAGTATGGTTGGAGGGTGCTGCCGTTCCTTGTTTTGCTTTATTTTTCTCATTTATTCCTGATGTCTGTCTCATTCCTGTCCCTCTTCCAGAAGCACCCATGCTAACGTAATGTGTCTGGAATCTTCCTGGATAAGAATCTGTGAAAAATACATGGGGTTGTTTTGTAGATGTTTATAACATTTACAGTAAAGGACTCTACTCTTACCTCAGGAGGGTGTGGCCGACAGGCCTCACCAGACGCCTGGGCACCTGCTGGCACACAGCAGAGTTGCAGATGTGTCCCGATTTGCTGGCTAGAACCCTGAACGTTCTTTGGGGGGTCTTGGCCATTCAGTTTTCCCCTTTGGAAAAGTCACTCCTCATATTTTGTTGGTTTTCTGTGAGTGTTCTTATCTTTTTTCTTACTGATTTGTAGGAGCGCCTCCAGTTAATCACTCTTGTCATTTGGTGACCTGTCACCCCGTCTGTTTTTGTTTTTGTCACCTTACATTTTGTGCTTTTGAGGTCTTTGTTTTTGAGGTTTTATTTTTTTTCCCCATCTCAAGATCACAAAGATATTCTCCCACAATTTTTTCTTTTACTAGTTCTAGAGTTACACATTTCACGTTTAGGTCTCTACTTGCCCTTTATTTATAACATGAGGCAAGTGTTCACATGGAGTTTTCCTCCTAATATCATTTACGGAGCAGCCTCCTCTTTCCTGAGTCCTGTCCCAGCCCTCCGGCCCCCAGGCCACTCCCTGGTTTGGAGCTGTGGCAGGCTCTCGCAGCTGGGAAGGCAAGTGCCCTTGGTGTTTTATTTTCAGAATTAATCTGCCTATTTGTAGACCTCTTTTCCTCCCTTTAATTCTAGAAGAATTCTTTTTCTTTGGTTAGATGCCTCAACAAAAAAAGTTTCTGCTGACCTAGGTGGTTTGGCCCAGTGGATAGAGCATCAGCCTGTGGGCTGAAGGGTCCCAGGTTTGTACCGGGGTTGCTGGCTGGATCCCCAGTGGGGGAGGGGGGGCGTGCGGAGGGCAGCCGATCAATGATTCTCTCTCATCATTGATGTTTCTATCTCTCTCTCCCTCTCCCTTCCTCTCTGAAATCAATAAAAATATATATATTTTTAAAAGTTTCTGCTGGCACTGTGATTGTAATCATAATTCATTAGTAAGCTTGGGCTGATTGGCTTTTCTATAGCGCTTAGTCATCCCCTCATGAACTTGGTGTATGTTTCCCCTTACGTTCATTCTTGAGCCCTTTGACAGAATGTAAACATTTCTGCCTCTTAGTTCTCCTGCAGGCTTTGCTTGATCAATTCCTGGATAACTTGTAGCTTTTGTTGTTAATTGTGTGAAATCTGCTCTATGACTTTTCATTCTCATCAGGTACAGTCTTCTAGTGTGTGGGGATTTTTACATAGAGATGACAGTTTTGTCCCCGTGTCCCCTCCCAACCGTGTTTGTTTTTTTCCTCTTGGCTGATTGCACTGGTGGGGCAGCAGGACTATTGAGTTGGAGCAGGGAGGGTGTACATCCTGTTTTCTTCCCAGAACATGGTGGCCATTATTGTCATTATCGCTGCTCTCCCAGTGTTGGTCCAGGTTGCAGTATGACTTTGGGAGTGGTTTTTAATAGTATCTTGAGTGCCATCCCTGGCGTGTAGGTGGTGGCTACGGTTGAGAGGATTTTGAGGTGCTATCCAGGCCCATTTGGAAAAAAATGCCAGGATCAGCTGGGCCTTTCTGCTGGGGTTCATGGGGTCAGAGGCACCGGGATTGTGCAAACTTTACTTAGTTCCTTTCCCAGTGCCAAAACCAGATGCTTCCCTTGACCTGGAGATATGTGGGTGCTGGGCAAGCCGCTGAGCCCTCCATGTACATCCTCATGCCCACCTGTGTCCTCTCTCCCCAGAACGTGCTGGCCAAAGCCCTCTATGACAACGTGGCCGAGTCCCCAGATGAGCTCTCCTTCCGCAAGGGGGATATCATGACGGTGCTGGAGCGGGACACACAGGGCCTGGACGGCTGGTGGCTCTGCTCGCTGCACGGGCGCCAAGGCATCGTGCCCGGGAACCGCCTCAAGATCCTCGTGGGCATGCACGACAAGAAGCCTGCAGGGCCCGGCCCCGGCCCACCTGCCCCCTTGACCCCTCCCCAGCCTGGCCTCCACAACCCAGCTGCCCAGTACACGCCTATGCTGCCTGTCGCTTACCCACCGCAGTCTGACAGCATCTACCTGGTGCCCACCCCCAGCAAGACCCAACAGGGGCTCTACCAAGCCCCTGGGCCCAGTCCACAGTTCCAGTCTCCCCCGGCCAAGCAGACAGCCACATTCTCGAAGCAGGTGCCCCATCACCCCTTCCCCAGCCCAGCCCCAGACCTTTACCAGGTGCCTCCAGGGCCTGGCAACTCCACCCAGGACATTTACCAGGTGCCACCTTCTGCTGGGATGGGGCTTGACATCTACCAGGTTCCCCCATCCATGGATGCACGCAGCTGGGAGGGGACGAAGCCACCGCCAAAGGTAAGGCCACCCTGGCATGGTTGGGCAGCCCTCCTGGTGGGTTTCGCCCAGACTTCAGTTTCTGGGCACAGCAGGGCACAGCTAAACACCCTTGGGTTCTCTGGGGCTCCATCTGTGGCTGTGTATTTGATCTGGGGCTAAGGTGGGAGGTGATTGTTTGGGGAATGTGTTCATTCTGCTGCTGATGATGGGAGTAAACAGGCTGGGCCAGCCCAGAGAGGAGATAGCTGAGACAAACCCCAGTGGGAGAACGAAGCCTGTCAAAGGCCTGGAGGTGTGGAAAAGTCTCCGTATTCTGGGTTGGCAGTTAGGGCTTGGCTGGTGATGCAGGAGCAACAGGCTGGGGTCAGACTCCCAGGGGCCTGGTGCCACCTAAGACCCAGATGCTTTCCTGAAGATAGAGGGTTTTGAGTGGAAGTGACCTGCTCAACCCATATTCTAGGAAGTCATTCTGCCCAGAGAGTGGAGGTATGGGAGCATTGAGGGGCCCAGGCAGGGGCAGGGGACCCAGGAAAGGGCAGGAGAGTTGGGAGTGTAGGGTGGCACTTGAAGGGGAGAAATCCAGCATGGAGTACAGTGCAGCAGTTAGGGGAGTGTGGCTGAAAACCCTAAAGAATGAATTGAACAAAAGGAGAGGTTTTTTTTCTCAGTTTGGAAGTGAGCAGTGCAGGCCTGACACACAACTCTGTGCCTATCAGGGGCCATGGCTCCTTCCATCTTGTTGCTCTGACATTGTCGATGTAGGGCTTGAGTCTCGTGGGCCAGGGTAGTTGCCTTGTGAGCTCTAACCAGCATGGCTACATCCTGGCGAGCAGGAAAGGAAGAAGGGACAAAGGGGAGAGGCCAGTCGTCTTGTGCCTGGAGGTTCTGGGGCGGGGGTGTCAGTCCCTTGGGCGGGGGTAGAGCACATCTTCTGGCCATCCTGGCTCCATAGTTGCCCAACCCTTCTCTTTTGGGGCATGTTAGTGGGCCTGCAGGCACCTACGAGTGACCTGTTTGTAACTCCTGCACAGTGGGGAGAATATTGCCTATGGCCGTGGTCGGCAAACTGCAGATCGCGCGCCACATGCAGCTCTTTGGCCCCTTGAGTGTGGCTCTTCCTAAGCCTTAGGAGTACCCTAATTAAGTTAATAACAGTGTACCTACTTATATAGTTTAAGTTTAAAAAATTGGGCTCTCAAAAGAAATTTCAATCGTTGTACTGTTAATATTTGGCTCTGTTGACTAATGAGTTTGCCGACCACTGGCCTATGGGATTGCCAGTACAGAGTTGTCCTGAGAGAGAATCTAGTTAAGCCTCTTGTGAGCTGTTGCCAGTGGGATGTTGGGCCAGGGGACAAGGCCCCACACCCTCCCCAGTCTGTCTGCCTGAAGGAAGGAGACAGCACTGAAGAGGGAGGCCAGACCCCACTGGCTGCTTTGGGCTGAATCAGGAGCAACATTTTCTCACCTTTGGCCTGTGTCTTCTCATGTACACATCCCTTCAAAAATTGGGGAGTGGAGTTTCCTGAGGCCTGGAGAGGGAAGTCCCACGGACTTGGGGGACAAAGTGGCCACACCCAGCTCTCCTGTCTCCTCCATGGTTGTTCACCCTTTACAGCTCACCTAGGAGGACCCTGAGAAACTGGTGTGGAGCCCTCACCAGCAGGGAAGTTCTTACAGTCTTCCCAGCTCCAGCTCCAGCTCCTCAGCTTGTCCCTCCTCAGAGGGAGACCACAGCGGGTGTGACTCGGAGGCTCTGGTGGGAGAGGATGGGCAGTGGGCATAGCAACCAGGCTTTGCTGGATCAGCTTCCCTGGGCCCAGGGCCGCCTGTGTTTGGAGAGGTAGCAGCCGAGTGGACACTCGCTCCACAGCACTGAGCCTCTGTCCTCTGAGCCAGCCCAGGGTGAGGTGGGAGACTTGCCCCTGCCCACAAGATGGAGCTTAGCAGCCAGGAGACCTTCCTGGAGGTCATTGGCTGGCTGGCAGAAGGTGTCCAAGGGGCTCCATAGACACTGGCTATCAGGGAACCCTGGGTCACCGGCTCCCACTTCCTGGTCCTTCAGCTCTCTGGCCAGAGATGGGCGGTGCTGGACTGGGATGACCTAGACTAGGCTGCTCCCAGGTAGCTTTAGCAGGAAGTAGTAGCAGAGAGCAGTTCCTAGCTGGTGAGCCTTGGGACAGGCCCTAGTTCATCCCCCTACATGCGCGCGCTCTCTCTCTCTCTCTCTCTCTCTCTCTCTCTCTCTCTCTCTCTCTCTCTCTCTCTCTCTCTCTCTCTCTCTCTCTCTCTCTCTCTCTCTCTCTCTCTCTCACACACACACACACACACACAGTCCATGCTCTGCACACACCCCAGGGAGGCATACCTTCCCCCTTCCCTCGTCTTTGCAGGCAGGCCTGCCCTGGTGCATCTGTGAGCAGGCAGGCAGGAGGCCTGTGGGCCAGGCAGCAGTGAGACCAGGTATTGGTCATTGCCTCCGTTTCCCTCCCATTGGTGAGACTTGCTGTCAGTCTGCTCTGGACTCACCTGGCTGAGGCCCAGTGGCCCTCCCCCAAGAAACCTCATTGCTCCTGACCTGGGCAGCCTCGATTACATCTGCTTTTATTTTATGATCATGAAAGTGAAGCTTGTTTGTCATAAAAAATGCGTAATGTATGAAAAGGTCTAGACAGGAGATGCCCAGTCGAGGTAATCACTGGGAGATTTTGGCATGTTTTGTCTAGCATACTCTCTATTCATCTTTCACAGATTTGTACACATACTTTTGCATTTTGAGGTAGTAAATCCAATATCAGATAGATATCGAAGCATTTTGTTGAGTCCCTAAACATGATTGTGACTACTGCCCTGGATTTGCTCTGTTGCCCCTCCATGGGTGGGCTCTAGGCAGTTTCTGATGACACGTGTCTCTGACACACAGCCAGGCGTGGACATCTTGGTGCGTGCGCATTTGTGTCCACATTTCAGGGTTGTGCTTTCATAAGCCTCGTCCTCCCCCTCACAAGTCTGGGAAACAGGCTCCTGGTCCAGGGGAGAGGTTGGCTGGGCCTTGGAGAAGCCCTGCCGACTTTGGCTGGGGGACTGAGTGGCTTGAGAGAGGTCAGGGCCACAGCAGGGTGTCAGCACCATTTGGGCAGGGGTGTGGCTTTAGGAGGCTGAGGGCAGAAGTAGGTAGGGCCCTCAGGGGGAGGGGTGTTTTTGTGAGGTCACTCTTGGGGGACTGCCTCTGGGTCAGGGGCCGCAGCTGTGCCTAAGGGAACAGCTGTGGCTCTGGGTCAGGCGCTGGGGAGACACAGCTGAGCTCAGTTCTGTTCATGCCTAAGGGAACAGCTGTGGCTCCGTTTCCCTCCCAGGCGCTGGGGAGACACAGCTGAGCTCAGTTCTGTTCCTTTTGGGAGCTTCATCCCCCTAGGCTCCTGGTGCCGGGCCATGGGGGTGTCATGCTAGGTTTGTTCCTCACTCTCAAAGAGAGGTTAGGTGGGCATCTACTCCGTCCCACAGCATTCCAGTACTGCTCCATTCCTCAGAGGAGGAAACCAAGCTTCCAGATGCAGGTGGAGTGGGGGTGTGCCAGGCCAGTCAGCCTGGGTCACATGAGCCAGTGACCCGTTTGCAGATGGGAGAGACTGGCAGCCGAGCTGCCTGGACAGGTGGCCCATCCCATCTCACTGGGTCTTTGAAGCCGCTAGTGTTATGTCTCACTACTGCCCTGCAGATGCCCTGCCCGGTTGTCAGTCTTTCGGTGTGCATCTGGCAGTGGGTATGCGTGTGTCTGTCTTGCACTGTTGAGATGTGTGTGAGAGCACGTGGTCTTGGGTTGGGGTCTGTGTTTTCTCCCAGACTCGGGCTGTGACCCCACCCTGGGGGCCTCAGGTCCTGCTAATGGGGCCCAGGTGCAGAGCAGGGCGGCCTGTGATTAGGTGGCTCAGCAGCTCTCTGGAGAGCTGGTTTCCCTAATGAGCTTTTCCCCACTGGTGGCTGCCTTACTATTTTTTTCTCCCAGAAAAACGTAAGCTGGCCAATATGGCTGCTTACTGTCACCAGCTCAGCCGCAGGCGTGGCAAGCTGCCCAGCGCCTGGGTCTGGACCCCAGAGCCCTTCTGCCTGCGCTGCCTGCCCTGTGTCATCTGCGGGAGACTGGGTCGGGGTGCGAAGGGGGAGTTGCACACCCCTCTTCATGAGGCCCGGTCTCCACCTGCCTTTTGGAGGCCAGCAGGGCCTCGAGACACCTCAGGCTTTGCCTCCAGGCCCCGCCAACCTGCCACGTCCCGCCAGCTCCCGCCCGCCCGCCTGCCTGCCCTGCTGTTGGCAGGTTCCAGTGTCTAAAAATAGCACTGGAGGAGACTCAAGTCTGGGGCTCCAAGAGGGAGATGAGTCTGGGGAGGGCCGCCAGCTCCACTTCCAGACACGCCGGGGTGGGAGGCAGTGGGCGGGGAAACCCCATGGAGGCACGCCCCAAGCTAACAGGAGCCTGCCCAGGAAGGAGGCAGGCAGGGGATGCGTGAGCTGGAGGCTCTGCCAGGCCCTGGGCTGATGAGAAGAGTGCTGGTGCCTGCACTTCTGGGGGAGACACTGTTCTACTGGCGGCTGCCCATGCGTGGGGGCTGGGCACAGCCAGCCTGGACACAGGATTCTGGGGGCCGTGAGCCTGAGTGCTGGCCCTGCCTCAGCTCTACTGCCCAGGGATGTGTGTGGGGAGGGCCCGCGTCACCCCATCCCAGAGATCCCCTTTGATTAGGGAACAAAAGGCCTTTCTGTCAGGAGAAGATCAGGGCTAGCAGCCTTGGGGAGGCGTGCCCTGAGCTGGCCTAGGAGACCTGCCAGCCTGTCCCTCGGGCTGACCCTCCCACACAGCTGACCCTCCCACGGGCCCAGGGTGCCTGTGGGAAGCAGGCTGCGTGCCCAGCACTGCCTGCCAGGCCGGGTGCTGACATGAAGGGCTGTGGGCAGTCTGCGGCTCCGGATCCGGGGCCCAGGGACGGGCAGCGGGGAGGGGAAGGGGCTGGCCTCCTCTCTGGGCCGATGTTACCTGTTCGGGTGAGTGGTGGTCTCGGGCCTTGTGGGTGGGGAGTGGGAGTCTTGGCTACTCTCACTCCATCTGCTTGAGAACTGGCCCTGAGGTCTGGGAGTCCCTACTGGGCCTGTCCTCAGGAGTCTCCCCAAGATGTGCAGTGGGGGGAGTAGAGGGCCGGGGGCTGCTTGCTGCTCTGCCGGGCCACCTCCTCTGGGCCCAGCCTGGCACCACACTTCCATCTGTACTGGATCCTGCAGTCAGGACAGCCCCTCGTGGGCAGACTTTCCTAGGAGCGTGCAGCTGGGAAGTGTCCTGAGGCAAAGGCACCCCACTCAAGGATGGCCCATCCTCCCCCAGCCCATAGGCCCCCTCTTCTGAAACCTGGTCATCCAGGTGTAGAGGCCACTTCCTTTTCCTGGTTTCCTGGCGTAGCACGTCATTGAAGAAAGGGCAGAGAATGCAAGGGGATGAGAATGCCCTTGCCTCTGAGTGGCCTCTGAGCCCACTCTTGGGGGACCCCTGCCCCTCACCTTTGTGTGTCTCAGCCAACTCACAGGGAGTGGAGTCTCCCTGAGGACCTGAGAGTGGACCCTGGAGGCTGGCTTCCAGGGCTGGTGGTGACAGTCGGCTGTCTGCCCCTAGGTGGTGGTGCCCACCCGCGTGGGGCAGGGCTATGTGTTCGAGGCCTCCCAGCCAGAGCAGGACGAGTACGACATCCCGCGCCACTTGCTGGGCCCGGGGCCCCAGGACATCTACGACGTGCCCCCTGTTCGAGGGCTTCCCAGCCAGTACAGCCAGGAGGTAGGTGCCTGCCTGCCTGGGTGGGGGTGACTTGGCTGGCCCTGCTGAGGGAGGAGGGGCTTTCCCCGCCCGGGCCAGGGTAGGTGGCTCTGGAGTTTCTGCTCTTTCCATCCCCTTAGGAGGCCCTGGCACCTGTATCACTGCACCTTTTCTGCCCCAGGTATATGACACGCCTCCCATGGCTGTCAAGGGTCCCAATGGCTGGGACCCATCGCTGGACGTGTACGACGTGCCCCCCAGTGTGGAGAAGAGCCTGCCGCCATCCAGCCACCACGCGGTGAGCAGTCGGGGTGCTGGGGCCTCACTGGCTGGTCCTGACTGAGCTCGGGTCTGGGTATGACTGTGAGTGTGCACTGGGGTGGGGGCATCAAGAGACCTGACTCCAGACCCCAGCTTTGCCCTCACTCACTCTGCGATGGGTGCTCCTGAGCCTCAGCGTCTTTGGCTGTAAAAGGGCCACGTGAAGGGCCTTCTTCACGGTGTGTGAGAGGAACACACGGGTATCAGAAGGTGACCACAGAGTCTGTCGCCCAAACCCGACACTTCCGAGAGCAAAAGGGGGTCCAATAATAATGCGGGGGCATCAGGCACAAGCCAAGGTGTTGTCACCCTGACTATATACACAGATAGCTCAGCCAAGTACCTGCCACAGAGTAGGGAATACACAGGCGACGGCGGTGGTGATGGTGGTGGTGATGGTGGTGAATGGTGATGGTGATGGTGGTGGTAGTGATGATGGTGATAGCAGTAGTAGTGATGGCAGTAGTGGTGAATGGTGGTGGTAGTGGTGATGGTGGTGATGGTAGTGAATGGTGATGGTGGTGGTGGTGGTGATGGCAGTGGTGGTGGTAGTGAATGATAATGGTGGTGGGGGTGGTGGTAGTGGTGATGGTGATGGAGGCGGTGATGATGATGGGGGCAGGGATGGGGATGGTGGTGGGGGTGGTGGTAGTGGTGATGGTGATGGAGGCGGTGATGATGATGGGGGCAGGGATGGGGATGGTGGTGGGGGTGGTGGTAGTGGTGATGGTGATGGAGGCGGTGATGATGATGGGGGCAGGGATGGGGATGGTGGTGGGGGTGGTGGTAGTGGTGATGGTGATGGAGGCGGTGATGATGATGGGGGCAGGGATGGGGATGGTGGTGGGGGTGGTGGTAGTGGTGATGGTGATGGAGGCGGTGATGATGATGGGGGCAGGGATGGGGATGGTGGTGGGGGTGGTGGTAGTGGTGATGGTGATGGAGGCGGTGATGATGATGGGGGCAGGGATGGGGATGGTGGTGGTGGTGGTAGTGAATGGTGATGGTGGTAGTGGTGGTGGTGGTGGTGGTAGGGTTGTGATATCTGATCTCCCACTGAGTGTTTGAAGTTACACAGTGAATTAACTTATATAATCCTCACAACAAGCCTGTGAGGGGATCTCCCGTCTTAGAGGCAAGCAGTCACCTGCCTTAGGTCACACAGTGGAGCCAGGATGCTGAGCTCAGGTCTGGCCCCAGAGTTGGGCTCTGAACCACATTTGTGCTAGAATGGTGGTGAATGTGCACCGGGCTGTGGCTGGGTCCTGTCCCTCAGCTCCAGGTGGGCAGATGGGCAGGCAGCCTTGACCACCCTTTGGCCCCTCAGGTGTATGATGTTCCTCCGTCGGTGAGCAAGGACGTCCCTGATGGCCCACTACTGCGTGAAGAAACCTACGACGTGCCCCCTGCCTTCGCCAAGGCCAAGCCCTTTGACCCAACCCGCCACCCATTGGTCCTCGCTGCACCCCCCCCAGACTCATCACCCGCTGAGGATGTGTACGACGTGCCGCCCCCTGCTCCCGACATCTATGACGTGCCCCCTGGCTTGCGGCGGCCTGGCCCCAGCACCCTCTACGACGTGCCCCGTGAGCGGGTTCTTCCTCCCGAGGTGGCTGACGGCAGCGTAGCCGACGATGGTGTGTACGTGGTGCCCCCCTCCGCTGAGCGAGAGGCCCCCGCTGATGCCAAGCGCCTGTCTGCCTCCAGCACAGGCAGCACTCGCAGCAGCCAGTCGGCCTCCTCCCTGGAG